CACAAAGACAAATCCTCCAAACAGTGCTTTTCCCTATATTGGTCTGGCAGAGTCTCAGGTGGGATGAGAATGGCCTGCAGCCACCCGTCCAGCTCTCCTGCCCATAGAGAAGGAAAGGCCAACTGGGGTTCAGTTTTAAGTCTCACCTTATCTGAGAATCCCAGTGCAACAGAACATATGATGTAAAAAAATTCAAAATCACAAAGCATAAGTCAGTAAAAGTATTTTTTTACTGAACAATAACAAAAATATTGCACTCCAGGGCTTCTAGGTCACCCAAATGATTCATTTTTGTTTACTTGATTATAAAAAAAAAAAAAAAAAACCTAAGTATTCAACGTTTCAGGAACACATTTTATAGAAAGTATATGAGCAGAATCAGAGTACTAGAAAGATCCCTTTGAAAGCACCTGTTTTAACTGTTTGTATTCATGTTGTATCAGTGCAAAGAAGGCAGAGTAGCTAAAGAATAAGGAGAAGATGCGGGGATTAGTGCATGGAAGGTGGGCTGGGGTTATTTCCAAAACGCCTCTCCTTTCCCAGCTTGCAGCTGTAATGGCCACTCTGACCGCTGTCACTTCGACATGAACGTGTACCTGGCCAGCGGTGGCGTCAGCGGGGGCGTGTGCGAAGACTGCCGGCACAACACCGAGGGGCCACACTGTGACCGTTGCAGACCCCTTTTCTACAGGGACCCCCTCAAAGCCATCTCGGATCCTTACGCATGCCTTCGTGAGTCCCCACCCTCTGACCGCATCCTCGCCACTGTTTTGAGCAAATGCTGACGAAGCAGGTCTCACTTGGGCTACCACTCCCCACTGGACTTCGCAGCATCTCCAAAACTGCCCTCTTTGGCGGGAGGGGCGGGGTCGGAGGGGTGCAAAACAATTTCAGAGCTAAGAGCATTTCTTTCTTTGAACAAATTGAGCCAGATAATCCAAGTCCATCCTGGTCGTCTTGCTGCAGTGGCTCATACTGGAGAATCAGGAAACTATTCTGGATTCAACCAGTTGGGGCGGATGATTTCAAAAGATGCAGCAACACCTGGAGAATCCGGAGGTCAGCTCCAGGAAGTAGCCAACTACTGAAAATGGCTACATTGGACTGGCTGTAGAAGATTCAATTTTGCTGTTAAGACGTTATTTATTACCTTGTTTCTTTTATCTTTCTTTAATTTCTTTAATTCTGCAAGTAGAGTAAGGTCTCAGACCTAGTAACTAGCACTGGGTGTTTGAAATCAGGTTGGAGTATTTATCTATGCAATAATCAACAGCAGTGCTGGGACTGCAGCAGGCAACTAGAGTAAGTAGACCTTACTCTACTTAGATTTTTTCCATTTTATTTTTAATCTCAACTTTTTAAAATGGAATGTTTCAAGCATATGCAAAATAATAGAGAATAGTATAGTAAACAATCTTATAACCACCACCAGCTTTGTTGAAACGTAATATCTTACCAGATCATCTTCAGAACTTTAATAAAACCCTACAGGTACTAGTGATGTCCCAGGTGCACATCGGTCTCATTTATCTAGAACGGTCCCACCCTCTCTCCAGGGATAAACTCTCATATATTTGGCAGTTATTACCTCCATGCTTGTGTTTACACTTTCACACATTGTTATCTACAAGCAATATATGCTAGCTTATTTTCAAACTTTAGATAAATGATATTATGCTGTATGTATCCTTGAGTATTTCACTCAACATTATATTTTTGAGATTTGTCCATATCAGGTAGCCCTAGTTCTCTAATTTTAATTGCTGTATGGAATGCTTTCCTTCCTACAAATACAACAAAAATCTATTTGTCCATTCTTTTTTGATGCGGCAATAGCCATGTATGTGGTCTGGTGCACATGCATAAAGACTGTCCCTGAGTCATACCTAGTAGTGGAATAACTGGGCCACAGTATGAACTGTCTTCAACTTGATTAGGTAATACTGAATTGTCCCCTAAGTGGGTGTACCAATTAACACCCTCACAACAGTGTATGAGAGTTCCTGTTGTTCTATATCCTGACCAACACTTGGTTTTATCATGTTTTAATTTTAATAAATGCATGATAAAATTAAAATAATTTTAATTTTAATTAAAATAACCATTATTTAATTTGTGCTTCTCTGCAGGAATGAGACTAGAGTGAAGCAAGCAGAGCACTTAGGTCCCAAAATTTAAAGAAGCACTCATTCTCAGAGTCATGTAAAAGCAGGGTTGACACTTGCCAGCTGCACCAATCTGACAATGCCACCTTAAATTCTGTGCCCTAGGCACCTCGTTTGCCTGCTGCAGTCCCAGCACTGCTGTTGATTATTGCATAGATAAATACTCCAACCTGATTTCAAACACCCAGTGCTAGTTACTAGGTCTGAGACCTTACTCTACTTGCAAACTAACAAGTTAGTCTTTTATTGTTTCTGGATGCTAGCAGGAAACATGAAGCTCCTGAGTCAAAGACAAACAGCTTTCTTACTCATGGCACAGCAAACAAGATGTTTGTACTAGCGTGAGTTCCCATGTTCCCCAAGTCCCATGGGGCAACTTAAAGGATATCATTTATGTTGTAGCCAAGGAAAACTGAGTAGAGGATTCATTGCTTTTATAGCAAGTGGAAGCAAACTCGTACTTTGGGGGAAGAGCTACCTCATCCTTCAAGGTAGCATACAACAAACACAACCTTGAGAAGTGGCTTGGGTAAAGAGCATTTAGGACCTTATATTGTGTGCACGCCCAGCAAAAAAGTTCAGATGCCCAGGACTCATGGAAGATTGCTTTTCCCAATACCCAGAAATCCTGTTTCTTAGGCTATATCATCAATACGTTATATTGTATTGGTGAGGGTGGGACTTGTTACAAAATTACAACTTCAAACTTTAAATAATCATAATTCATAAAATGAAGTCCTATACAAAAATAATTTAGTAGCCACCTAAACACATACAATGTCCTATATTTCAAACTTTAAATCATCACAATGTACAAAAAGCATAAATATTTTTTTTCTCAGATTACTCAATAGGTACCTGATTGCATAAAATTTTTCCTTACATGGCCTGTTTAAAATTGACACAAAAAACTGGATTCTCAGAAAATACATTTCTTTAAGTTAATGTCCTAAGTGTCCTACATTTTTTACTAGAATCTATAATCACACACATAGACAACTTTTATTCATGTTTTAAAAGTTATTAATTTATAAAAGAAGAGGAAATTGCTCTCTTAAGTGGAATCAGAAAAATATAATGTTTGAAACAGATAATCTAAGATTCTTGAGAGAGATTAGAAATAACCAAACCAAATGTTTTGAAGTCTTGTTCCTTAATAACTACTTAGTATTAACTTGATGGTGCTTTTGAAGGAAACCAAGGAAAAAAACTAATACCCTGATACGAAATTAAGAAGTCATTCTTTATAAAGGAGTTTCTTGAGCAAACAGATGAGGAGCATATAGAAACTACCATCATGAGACTCCTCAGATTCTCCCAATTTACCTAAATACATGTTTATGTATGTATAAGTGTATATATACAAATGCGTGTATTAAGACTACAATCTCATATAAATTTTCTGAAACTTGTCCTTGTTTGACCCTAAATATTTACATAATCAGATTCCAGGCATAAGAGTTGACTAGTTTTAAGTCTTCTATCATTAAAGCACAGTTAAAAGTAATACAGAAAAAAGCAAAGATTTGGTAGACTCAACCACTGATAATAAAGTTTGTTAGAATTGAGTTGTGTGACACCAGGAGATTTTGTTGGACTTCTGTCCTAAAGACCATGATGTAGAGTTATTTCAAAGCAAAGTTACTACCCACTCACCCACATCCCTTTCCCAAAGGATACATCTCTGCTTGATTAAATTTTGCTCTGGGACTCAGTGCTGAGTGCTCAGTGCAGGCAGTGTCTCCCAAATAAAACTGAGCTTTTTCCTTTTGGCTCCTTTTAAAATGAATCCAGTTTGTTCCTTTATTTCTAGAAGAAACTGACTGTAATTAGGAGAAAAATGTGGTTTTTCCAAACTAAACAGAACTCAACGCTATCTTTCCATAGTAAGATTTTTATCTCCAGTCACAATCTAATAGCGTACAATTGAAGTCAAAAGATTCTGTCAGACAACCAAGTAATTGTTTCAATGACATCAAACAACTGGTTTTACTAGATTTTTTTCACTAAACTCACTAATCTAAATGGTTGTTATGTAAACATAGCTTTGACTTGAGAGTTTTGTTTTCATTAATCCAAAGCAAACATGTATAACTGTGAACATAATTGTTTCTTAGAATCAGGATATTCATTTTTCAATCTGTATTCCATTCCTTAAAAATGGAATTCCTTGGAAACACATACCACAAAGATACAGGAGACCTTGGGGGTCCCCTAATGTCTGCCAAAGCACTTGTCTTTTATACCAAAGCCACAAGTGCTATCCCAGCCTCAGCCTGGACACCTCCATGATGAAGGGATCACTGCCCTACTGTGCAGCCCTAACTGTGAGAGAGCTCTTCCTTAAATTCAGTCAGGCTCTACCTTTTGTAACTTCACCTTCTGGAATTATTCATACTATAAGCAACCTTTTTCATATGACATTCCTTCCTTCAGTTGTTCAAGTTTCTACTGAAACAAAAAGGGGGAGGGCAGGTTGGAGCTTCTGTTGCTCCTTTGCTACAGGTGACTTTATCTCATTTTCCAGAATCTCTTCATCCAAGGCTTTGCCCCACCAGCAGATTTCCAAAAAGAAAACAAGGATATGAACATTTTGGAGTTCCTCTTTCTTTCTCTTAGGTTCTCTTTCCAGGAACAATTCAGTGGCACAGTGCTGTGCAACCATCACCTCTACTTAGCTCCAAAACATTCTCATCTCTCCCCCAAATAATCTATTTTTAATACGCAGTTTTTAAGATAGCTATCTTCTTCTGTCTTCTTACTTTAGAATCACTTGTTAAAGTTTTTTTTTTTCTTCTTTTTTTAAATGTATGGAATATTTCAACATTTTCCAAGGCGGGAGATCTAGGAGCTATTTCTGAGCAGCCCTTGCCCACTGGTCTAATTATTTAAACATATTTGATGATTTAAACAAAATAAAATAGAGCATGAGTAAACCGCTGTGCTTACATTTCAAGTTTCCCACCATTTGCAGTTAACTAAGATCACGCACTTCTGTGTCCCCAGCTTGTGAATGTGACCCTGATGGGACCGTATCGGGTGGCATTTGTGTTAGCCACTCTGATCCTGCCTTGGAGTGGGTGGCCGGCCAGTGCCTGTGTAAGGAGAACGTGGAAGGAGCCAAATGTGACCAGTGCAAGCCCAACTACTATGGACTGAGCGCCACTGACCCCAAGGGCTGTCAACGTAAGTTAACAGCGACTGGGCCGCCAGCCCCAATGCGTTTTAAAGCTTGGGGCTATCTCTGGCACTTCTAAAATTCGATCAATGTAAATACTAAAGAATCTTGCCAGCATCTGGGTTTTTAAACGTGATACAAAACCTCCCACAAATGTTAGTAAATTAGTGGAGAACTTTTCTCGGTGGTTTGCTATTTATCATATGGGACCAGCAGAGGGCGCTCACTTTTTTTTTTTTTTTTTCCTACTAGAGCAAACGCAGTGTTAAATGCCAGGAAATTTAAGGCCAAGTTGTAAAACCTTTAAGAAAAACGGCTTCCACTAGGACTCTCCTATACAAATTCGTTAAATTACAGTATGCATTGCTGCAAAGATTGATGACTTGTTGGGCAATTTTCATGTGGAGGTTTCTTTTCATTTTTGAAATTACTTTTCTCTTTTTTTCTCACCACTCTCCTAGTATTAGTCCAAATGAAGAGACCCTTGGCTCCAAGATCACAGAAGTTTACATTTGCCTGGGGTCTCAAAGAGCTGTAGAATCCTTAAGAAATTTGAATAAATATTTTCCCTTTTGTCACAGCGTCATACTCGATACCTTTGCCCATATAAGGAACTGCACATTATTTGCATGTTTAGAGAGCAGCATGCTGAATCCTGTAATAAAATGGTCTTCTTGAGTTTGAGGGCAAAATTAAATTTCAGGATAAAGAATTATGTAATCAAAACAAATGCCTCTTGCACCGTGCAGCACTCCAGGCTTTCCCCTTAGTTCACTGACTAACCTCATACCCTCCAAAAATAGGCCAAATAGTGTTTTTTGTTTGTTTGTTTTTTCTTTTATAACAGCTTTAATGAGATATAATTCACATACCATACAATTCACCTTTGAAAGTGTAGAATTCAATGATTTTTAGTATATTCAGAGTTGTGTAACCATCACTACAATCAATTTTAGAACATTTTCATCACCCCAAAAAGAAACCCCATACTGTAATTCTGGCTATATACCCAAAAATTGAAAGCAGGGTCTGGAAGAGATATTTGTATCCCCAAGGTCATAGCAGCCCTATTCACAACAGCCAAAAGGTGGAAGCAATTCAGTGTCCATCCATGGATGAATGGATAAACAAAATGTGGTATGTATAGATGATGGAATATTATTCAGCCTTAGAAAGGAAGGAAATTCAGACACATGCTACAACATGAATGAACCTTGAAAACATTATACTAAATGAAATAAGCCAGACACAGGAAGACAAATATTTTATAATTCCACTTACATGAAGTACCTAGAATAGTCAGATCCATACAAACAGAACATTGAATGGTGGTTGCCGAGGGCTGAGTTAGGGAGGAATGGGGACAGATGGTGTTCAATGGGTATAGAGTTTCAGTTTTACATGACAAAAAGAGTTCTGGAGATGTGTTGCACAACCATGTGAGTGTTCTTAACACTGCTAAACTGTAGACTGAAAATGGTAAAGATGGGAAATTTTATGTTAGAAGTATTTTACCATAAAAAAGAAACCCCATACTCTTTAGCTACCACCTCTCTATCCTCCCATTCCCCCAGCCCTACGTAGCACTAATCAACTTTCTGTTTCTGTACATTTGCCTATTGTAGATATTTCATAAAACAGAATGCTATAATTTGTGGTCTTTTATAACTGGCTTCTTTCACTTAGCATTATGTTTTTAAAGTTTTTCCATGTAGCATGACTCAGTACTTTATTCCTTTTTATTGCTGTACAATATTCTGTAGTACTGATACACTACACTTCATTTATCCATTCATCAGTTGATGGACATTTGGGTCATTTTCATGAACACTGGTTTTTCCTGCAGGGGAAATGTATATCTTGCGCTGGTACCATAATTCCTTAGCCTTCATAATATAAGCAGGACTGAGAAATGTCTATGGGAAAAGAAAAAGGAGGAGGAGAATGAGAAGAAAAGGTAACAAGGCAATAGGAAAGAGAGTGAAGAGATAGGGAAATGATAGGTGCATCTACCAGAGAAGGAGCCATATCAGTTATAACTGTGACACTCAGAAACCCTTGGTCCTCGTCGGCGATCTGGCCAGCATCACTCAGGGTAACAGTGCCAGGCACTAAGCTTGCCCAGCTTCCTCCACTTTCTTGTCTCATAACCGCCATCCAGTAGACCTACACAAGAGGCCTGGAAGTGTCTGGCCTGGGTTTACTCTGTAGGGTTATATGCAATATAATAATCACGCAGCCAGGCAGACAATAAGTTTGGCAGGGCAGGCTGCTCCATATTCTCATGGCCACATGTTTTACTCAGTATGAGCTATTAAGGACATTTATAAAAGTGAGGAAATAGAAATGAATGATTGTGTATGTTGTGCTTTCAGCCTGCAACTGTAACCCTTTTGGGAGTCTGCCACTCTCAACCTGCGATGTGGACACAGGCCACTGCTTGTGCAAGCCCTTTGCCATTGGACCACACTGTGAGGATTGCACTGTATGTATTTGCCTATGATTTCCCCTTTATGCAGTCATGCGAATTTCTACTGCCATTGCCTGGAAGAGGCTTGGTCTTGTTAATTGTTTTCCTTGTCCTATTGTATTTCAATACTCCTGTGGTAAAAGTGTTTACACTAAAGAAATCAGCAAACACTATAAATCAGCCCCCACCCTCCTGCTGAGAGCTGGTTGTTAAACATTTACCAGCTCACCAACATTTACCAGATTGAACTGAACCGACCCAGGTACCTATGTCAGAGTTTTTTTGTTCTTGTTTTTGTTTTTCAGTGTATTGTGCTTTGCTTTATTGTGCTTCACAGATATTGCCTTTTTAAAATATTTTATTTTCAATTATAGTTGACATACAATATTAATTTTAGGTATATAACATAGTGATTAGACATTTATATACTTTACAAAGTGATCACTACAATTAGTATGGCAGAGGGATTATAGCTCATGTCAATAGTTTTATCCATTGTTCTAAAAGTGCCAAGCACTAGACTATAAGAGCATTTATCTGCCCCTTTTTTTTTGGCCAACCAGTTAGGGCCTCTTCTTCTGTCTCTTGACACAATCCTTTATCACCTCTACCACTCTGTGCCTAAAAATATTTTGGATGAGCTCATTATTTTGGGCGGGGCGGGGGGAGGATTTTTTTAAAAAGACTTCTCATTTCAAGGACGAACTCATTAAAAAACAAAAACAAACAAAAAAAGATTTTAAATGTATGTGGGAAATAAAGTCTTGAAGTTTTTGCAGACTCCACTAAACATATAAGCATGTATATCTAAAATCAAACAAAACATTTTTACTCCATAAGAAATATATCATGCAGTTAGGGAGTTCAAAACCCAGCTATTTTCTTTGTTCTCCAATCTTGGCAGCCCACCATGAGATTTTAGAAAGAAAAAATAAAAACTTAACCTAATAAAAGAACAATGACCTCGATGTGTCTGAAGAAATGTAGCTGATAAATAGGAAACATATGCCTATTAGGACATAGTTTTGTGCTAATATTTTAAGTCATTTTACTGAAAACATATGAGGATGGGGCAGAGAAGATGGGGACAGAAAACAAGGAAGGAAGTATAAAGAAGGCACTTTGTGTAAGACAGAGTGGGTAGTACCAAAGTTTTAAGTAGGAAGGTGAGCCATGCAAGCTCAATGACTGCGTACGGACAATACAAAGAAGCACGCACAGCCAGTTAACAGGATCCATGAAGGCACCACATCAGATCATTCCAGAAAAAACCCTAAATGCAAGCTGACATTTTTCTTTGGCAGGTTAACTGCCACTGTGCAGCAAACTTGATTGTGTTTGCAAGAGGAAAATAACTGAACAGGAGCCACCTCAGGGGAGACCTGTCCAACATATCTGAGCCCACACGTCTGCCAGCTGCCCCAGATCCATGTCTGTCCAATGGTGCCCTGGACCTGTGATGAGGTGGCTAACATTACAGCATATCCTGCCCAAAGGGAGTTTTCACAGCCACATCCTGAGTGAAGCATTTCACATTGTTTTTGCCTAAACTAAAGTTTGGTTTTGGGAAATTTATCAAAAGTCCTTTGCTGCATTTTGCGACAAATTATGTCAACTTGTAATGTTTAAAATAAACCTTTCTGAGTAAAACTGGGCATAAAATTTTACGATGCGAAAAAAAAAAAGTGTGAATATTTAACAAACCCATTTTAAGCAATAGTTCCATGCCTAGTAAGACCTTAATTTTATCTGAGCATATTCAATTGAGATTTGAGGGGGAAGCATTTTTCTGAGCATTTTTTTGGTAAATGTTATCAGATTTAAGAAATAGTTGTTTGTATCTCACCAGTTGTTTATACTGAATAAAGGTCAAGATGTTGCAATGATGAAGAAGTCTTGAACAACAGAGCTGACTCTCTCATGGAGAGGGATTATTATGCTCAAACAACTTTATTTATAAACAAGTGATTCTACTAAATGGTGATATATAAGATCTCAGATCAGTTTAGTTGATTTTTTTCCCCCAAAAACATTTCAGTATTATCTAAGTAAAAATCATGGGGATTTGGGGGATTTGGGGGATTTTAAAGTAAGGGTATCTATTGGTTTTATAAAAGCAATTGCAAACAGGCTAGTTGAAGAACTTCTGACTGGCCTTAACCCAGCTTGAGGCTAAATTGATGCTAACAGAGGAATTGTGTGGTTTCCACTGCATTTCCACTTGAAGCAACACACAGACAACTTGCCTGTCCCCTTCATTTAAAGTGCCAGGAATGTAAGATATGTGTCCTCAAAGATCATTACCAAATGCACAGGCAAAAAAAACTATTGTATGATTGTTCAGGCGGTGTGGCCATTTGATAGGTGTAAATTGAATTGTAGTACTGTTAATATTGCACCTCAGGGCAGCAAATATCTTCATAGCTGAATCAACTGATCATTTTCTCTTCGTAGGTTGGATACTGGGGACTGGAAAATCATCCCCACGGATGTGTTCCGTGTGACTGTGATATTGGAGGTGCTTATTCTAATATGTAAGTCAGTAAAATGAATGGCAAAGTTTTGTGACAATTTCCTCACTCACATTTCCACATAAAAGCTCATTTTATTCTGATATGCTCATAGTCATAAGTGAAGGAGTTCATTCCATGACAAGCAAAGGGCATCGAAAAGCGATGATCTCCAGCCCAATTGATTTATTCAAATATTTCCAAGGGTGAAATGGCAATTCTGCACCTAGGTCTCCCAAGAGGTGGTGGGATAGATGCCTGCAAATGTGTGACTTCACCTGCCTAAAACACCAACTTTTTGCCACCCTGTAAAGAGAGGTCCTACACTCTCCTTTTCCCAGTTTTTAGAGCAGAATTAGAGAGCTGCTGAGGAAAGAAGTGGCTACTGGGTTTCATGGGTATGGATTTGATTTTCAAGACCAGACTCGTAGAGGACATAGCCTCTCATTACCCTGCCAGGACAATTGATTGATCGGTTCAAATAATGGATCCAAACTCAGGGTTTAATTAACCCAGCAGCCCCATGCCTTCATTTTATGATCACCCTGCTACGGTTCTTCAGATGGATTTGTTTTACTTCAGGTGCTCCCCCAAGGATGGGCAGTGTGAATGTCGCCCGCATGTCATTGGCCGCAGCTGCACTGAACCAGCCCCTGGCTACTTCTTTGCTCCTCTGAATTTCTATCTCTATGAGGCTGAGGAAGCCACACCACTCCAAGGACTTGCACCTTTGGTTTGTATTTCATTTCTAATCCTTGCAGACTTTATTTAATGCAGTGTCAGTAAATGATCTCACACCCTTGAGATCATGGGTAAGGTACCTGGAAAAGAATGGTTCAGCCCACAAACACAGAGCAGAGTAGAGGTTATTCTATCAAGGAACTGCAATTACATAAATTCTGGAGGGCAGAGTCTGCATTTTGTTTATCTTTGTATCCCAGTTCTAGCACAGAGCCTGGGACATAAGTGTGATTAAGTTATAATGAAATGGACTTTACTTGCGCTCTTTCGACGCAGCCATCAGAATGTGTTTACTGAACATCTACTTGTCTGTCTCCCTCACAACATTGTAACCCATGAGACAAAAAGAAGGATGTGAATACCACTCACCATTGTTCTAGTGCCTAGCTCAGTATCTGTCACACAGTAGGAACTTGGTAGATCTCTGCTGATGAATGAAAAACGTATGCAAAAGCAGTGTAAGTGTGCTCTCTGGCTCCAGAAGCTGCTCTTGGATTAGCAGTTCTCACCGAGGTCAGTGATGTTCACAGGAACCTCAAGTGTCACCTGGAGTTCTACTTCATTTCCTTCTAGTCACAGTCCTATAGGGATTATTTTCTAAAAAATATTTTTCTAAAAGTCTCGTCAGAGGTGCAGAAACATACATGTGAAAGGATTAGAGAAAATACAAATTAGACTCTCTCATACTGCTCTCAAGCATGTGATTCCAGTTATAGATGGGCACAGGACAAAAGGAAAGGTGATGTGAGATGAGTCTTCAAGGAGAGAAAGCATGTGAAGGTTAATTCTAAAGAGAGGATTTGGATAGAAAACAGGGGACCTCATTCCAGTTCCCAGTGACTGAGTCATTTCCTGAGATCTCTTCCTTATCAGAACGCTGTTGGTGGGAGGAATAAAAATGCCCCTCAGGAGTCTCGGAATTTGCTCTTTTAGAGACTGGAATTGGGGCAGAAACAGGAGGCCTTCACTGTTGCTGCTTAGACTTACAACTGTGGTGGGTGGAATCAAAATGAAATGATTCTATGCATTCCTCTTCGTGGTTTTTAACATTGAATCTTTATAATGGTCTGAAAAACAAAACTTTTGGAAAGAAATATGGGTATTTATATTTAGATTATACTTATTGTGAGATAATAGAGAAATATATGTGATGGTCTTGGCCCTGGCTCCTGAAGCAGAGTTCCTAAATCCTTCGGAATTTCCTGGGTGATAAGAAGAGATAGGAGTATCTTTTATTTGATGAGGCAACTCTTGGTGGGCTCCTGAGTAGCTTCAGGATGGGAACTAGTCACCAGAAAGACCAAGCCATGATTGAAACTTTCATCCCCGCCCCTGCATCGTCCAGGAAGAGGAGAGGGCTGATGATTGATTTAATGATCTGTCATGCCTATGTAATGAAGCCTCCATAAAAATCCATGAAGCACTGGGTTCAGAGGGCTTCCATGTTGGTGAACACATCCACGTACCAGGAGGGCAGTACACCTCAGTTCCAAGGGACAGAAGCTCTAGTCTTCCCCCTTATGTATCTCTTTATCTGACTCTATCTGTCTCTTTTAACATATCCTTTATTATATAATAAGCCAGTGAATGTAAGTGTTTCCCTGAGTTCTGTGACCTGTTTTAGCAAATTGTCAAACCCAAGGAGGAGGTCACAGAAACCCCAACTTGTAGCCAGTAGATCAGAAGTCCAGGTAACAACCTGGACTTCCAATTGGCATCTGAAGCGGGGAGGCAATCTTATGGGACTTAGCTCTTAACCTGTAGGATCAGACGCTAACTCCAGGTAGACAGTGTCAGAACTGAATTAATTGTAAGACAGCCAGCTGGTGTCAGAAACTTGGTTGGTGTGGGAATAAACGGACACATCTTGTGTCAGAAGTGTTGTGAATGTGGTAACAGTGAGAGTAGAGGAGAAACACAACGGTGTTTATCCTATACATCTATAAATGCAGTAGTTCCTATTTTTCAGATAAAAAGACACAAAACAAACATGATTATCTAAGATAGATGGACTCTTACTTAACATTTATTCAGTATGCACCATGTGGTGGGTGCTGGCAAGCAATTAAGTAGGATAATATTAGCTCCAAATTGTAAATTGACATCAATCCTTACTCATGTCTCCAAAGCTTAAAGAAAAATATCGAGGTTACAGAACGGGTTTAAAAGGCAAGGAAAATTGCTTGAAAGACCAGAAAGTAATACCTATGACAAAGGAAATGATATTCAAGGTGGGATTGATAGTAAGTGTTTAGAGAGTGATAACATGAATAATTTCCCTCTCCACCAAGAAAATGATCTATAATTGTAGTAGAAAGGATTCAAGTTAGACACCATTTAATTATTTGTTCATTTACTTAACAAATATTTATTGTGTGTTTACTGTGCTGTTTGTTGCTGCTGCTATTAATAAAACTTTCCAATTTATATAGGTTATCTCATTTAACTTTCTAAACAACCTAAGTATTATCATCTGTAATTTTCAGATGAGAGAAAACAATAGACAGGTTAAGTAATGTGCCCAAAGTCAACACAGCTGGTGGGCAGTGGGGCCTGGACTAAAATCCAGGTGTGTCTGGTTTCAAAACTTGCTCTTAACCCATTCACATGCATAATGCTGAGCCTCAGACTGAGGGTAACATAGAAAGGGATTAGAGTCCCTGCCCTCCCAGAGTTTTAACTATACCTAATACATTTACATAGATAAATAGCCCATGATAGGGGCAGTGCCCTATGAAAAGGAAAGTCAATAAGTGCATTAGGATTTTGGAGCCATGAGTAACTTTTTTATGAACAGACTTAACACATAGGTAGAATAATTGAAAATAATAAGAATTTCAATTGGTAGACTAGGCTAGAAGACAGTCCAGCTAGGAAAAGTTATAATGGCTCAGAGGAGAAATGGTGCAGTTGTATTCACAGGTAGAACAAGAAGTTTTTCTATAGGGAAGACGTATTAGAAAAGAACATTAGATTCTCCTATTAAAGTGGCTAAATTGTTTTCTCTGGGCAATGAGAACTCATCAGAGTTTTCTGAGCAAGGGAATGACATGCTGAAGATCGTCCTTGGTGGGACAGTCTAGCCGAAGTGAAGCCTGGGGTGGAGGGAAAGGAGTCTGCAATAGTCCAGACAGGAATAAAGAGGGGTCTAAATTAAACGGTAGCACAGAAAAAACAAAGAACAGAGATGGAGATATGAAAGGACATGAATCCAAGATAACATCTTATGAATCATTGTTTTAATACTCAAACAGGAGAACAAAAAAGAATGACAATGAAATTTCTTGGTGGGTCTTCAAAAAATCTGACACTGGCATACCTCAGAGTTATTGTAGGTAGTTTGTTTCCAGACTGCCGCAATAAAGTGAGTCATAATCTTTTTGCTAGTGGAGGATCTTGCCTTCGATTTGTAAAAAATATATATATATATGTATTTATAAATATATGTATATATATTTATATATACGTGTGTGTATATGTATATAAAATATATATATGAGACACACAATAAAACGAGGTACGCTTGTACACATATGTCTTTGTCTGTTTGGGCTGCTATAACAAAAATACCATAAACTAGAGTGGCTTATGAACAACAGAAATTTATTTCACATAGTTCTGGAAGCTGGGAAGTCCAAGATCAAAGCACCAGCAGTCAGTGTCTGGTGTGAGAGCCCACTTCCTTATTCATAGACATTTGTCTTCTTGCTGAGTCCTCACATGGCTGAAGGGGCAGAGGTGCTCTCTGGGGTCTCTTTTATAAGGGCATTAATCCCTGATCACCTCCCAGGGCATTAATTTTATACGGGTATTAATGCCGTTTTATAAGGACATTAATCCCATTCATGAAGGCCCTGCCTATCACCTCCCAAAGGCCCCACCTCCTAATACCGCACTGGGGATCAGGTTTCAACATATGAATTTGGGGGGTGGGACACAAACATCCAGTCTAACAACAACACTGCTACTTGAAATGCGGCCTGTAGACTCTCAGTATTGGCATCACCTGGGAGCTCATTAGACCACTGAATCAGGTCTGCATGTTAACGAGATCCCCAGGTGATTCATATGCAATTTAGGAAGCTCTGGTTTGTTCTCTTATAGAAACTGCTTGCGGTCACAAAAGTTAATATTGGTTAAATTTAACGTAGTATAGAATTTAATATAGAGTAGTATATAGTTAATTCCATAATGTGTTTTCTGTATAAAATTAGTTAAACAGTTTATAATTTTGTGTCACAAGATGAACACAATTAGTGAGTGGAAAAAAAAGAGAGAGAGAGAAAGAACCAATACACATAATCCCAGCCTGGCCTGTCCAAGGGGTCCTCTTTACAGGGTGGTGGAGGAGTGGGCCAGAGAGCAGGGCTGAGACTCAGAACAGCAAACACAGGAGTAAGGGCGCCCCTGAGGTGACCGCAGCTGACCCAAGGCTGCATGCTCATGATGAGCAGCAACAAGGGCACCTGTGAAATTAAAAATCTTGTTTGTAAAACCAACAGTGAAACATTAACCAAGCAAACGCCTAGGTCTAGGGTACAGTGTAAATTTGGAAATGAGTAATTGGAGGTGCTAACTGGGTTGGCAGCTGAATGACTAAGGAGATGATGTAAAAAAGAAACCCACAAAATCCAGGATTTTAAGGAAACTGGAGTTGCGTGAATGCAGTCCCTCTGCCTTAGTCTGGCTGGTAGAGTTTGGCTATCTTGGTATAATCTCTCATGGGAACTAGGCCAAATCCTACAAACCATGAGAACTAAGAGGAGTTGATCTGGAGCGTGTCAAAAGTTATACTATCTAATAAACCTTTGAATCTTTGTACCAAGCCTATTGTTGATTTTCTACAACTTTTTTCTTTAGATTTCATGTTAAAACATAACATTTGTGCTTTTTTTTTTAAAACACTATGAAACCAGTGAGAAGAATAAAATGTTTTCCCAGTTTAGAATTTCACTAGTATAGCATTCTTTCAAAAGAAAACCCATCATGTGGTCTTAGGACCACAAAAATTTCTCCTTTTTACAGCAAAACAAAAAATTTTAAACTGCCTTCATGATTTCTTCCTGAGGCTATTGAATGAGGATCATGATTACTTTTTAAATTATAGTATAATCTGAAACTATTGAACTATAGTATAATTGGCCCTTCGTTAATTACTTAAGCTGTATTTTCTTTCCTTTTTAAGATATTAGCAACAGCTTTGCCTACATGTGATGTGTATTTCCAGCAACAAGGAAGTGAATTCATAATTGACAAAGGAAATATAGTACTGAAGAGAAATCAGAAGCATAGCATACATGCTGACAAGCAGAGTGAGGTAAGCCATTTCTTCGTGGCCATTTTCTGTTGTGCTATAAACAACTAACCCAGGTAATGCACTTCGAACCGTGCTGGCCCATGTAAATGCTCAGTCAATGTTAAGCTCTTATTATCCTCAACAGAATGGAAGAAAGGAAGAAGCTAACTCAGAGTAATTAGAGCCCCTGGGAAAACATCAATAGCTTTATTTCTTTTTGTAACGAAAACTTCTAGAAAGCTGGATTCTGAAGCTTTGGTGAGTCAGGTACAAGAATTCACAATTTCTTGTCATTTTAGTAAGAAAAGGTACAGTGCCATAGAATGGCTTTCCTCATAGCTGGAGAAAAAAGAATACGCTGATGTCCCTGGAGATGATGCGTGGCTATGCCCTCGATTCCGAGGCAGTTGGAGTTGGCCGGTGCTGATGCGAGTGCCAGAATGATGCCACCTCCTCAGAGCCTGCCTTCAATGGCTTTAGAAGGCTGGAGGAGACCTGAGGAGCCTATAGCCATCCAACTACTATTCACTCAAAGTTGTGGCTGCTATAGGCCCTTGCGTTCCTTCATTCATTCCTTACTCTAGGATCTTTATTGAGTGCTCCTGTGTGCATATGTGTGAATTGGTATGTTGGAAAAGCAAATGAATTGGCATGTTGGAAAAGCAAACGAAAGCAGACAGTAGCTGTCTTTTTTACAAACCTAGCACCTGAAACAGTTCACTTCATGTAGGAGATCTTCTTGGGTGAATGAAACGGTTGAATGAATGACAACAGAAATATTTAATCATGCAGCCTGTCCTTAAGAATGTTTTTGGGGAAATGAGCCACTTACACAAAAAACTAATGTGTGCCAGGGTGGGGTAGGTACATAAAAGAGGTACGCATGCATGATATGGACTTCAGGTTAAGGAGGACACGCTCCAGCCGAGAGGGTCGGCAAAGGCTCTGTGGACGTGCTCCTCCTCTGTGTCCACGCACGCCAGTCATGGTGGCTTGGCTCTTTCTCCTGCTCCTGTCACCATGCCACATGCCCACGAAGCCTTCTCTGACTATCCAGGCTTCTCAATCTGAAGTCCACCTGACCAAGAAAGGTGGGGAATGAGGCACTGCTCCCCTCCCCTTGCACTCTGTGACAGAGATCAGTCAACCTCAGATTTTTTACTATGTGTAAGTATTGCTGGGGGAGTTCGTTTCAAATACAGATTCTAGGGCCTTACTCACAAGATACTGAATCAGGGACTCAGACCAGTCAAAAAATTTGTGTTTACCATGTATCTAAAGGTGATTCTGATACAGATTCGCTGCTCTAAGCATCCACAAGCTACTCTCCTAACTCTTGCCTGATGTGACCACTTCTGTATCATTGATTTGCAAACCTTCTACTCATCCCTTAAGACCCAATTCAGATTTTTCTTTGTCTGACATTCTATACCCTGACATCTGGACACAATTAATTATTTCCATCTCTGGGTTCCCATAGATCAGTATTTTTCAAACTGTAGGTCATGCCTATTAGTAAATAGGTGATGAAATCAATAGACAGGGTCAGCTTAGCACAACAGAAGCATACAAAGCACAGCATATTTTTTAGTGAAATTTTTGTTTCAGTTTTATAAAATGTGTGTGCATGCCATGCTGATTTACTGTCTTGGGTTGGGTTCCCTAGAAGCAGAGATTACAACAGAGGTTTGGGCGCATGTACTTTACTGAGGGAACGCTCATCAGGAGAAGCCTGTATGAGAGTGAGGGCTGTTGGCTGAGAGTGAGGAAGAGTGAGGCAAGGATGGGGTCTGGGGTAGAGTCTAGCCTAGGCCTGGTCCCCTGGGAAAGCTCTGAAACATAAACAGCAAAAAAGAGTTGTCATCCCTTGAGACCCAAGGGCTGGCTTGTTGTATTCCCATATTAGTCAGTCATGACTGTGGCTGCCAGGGCAGATACAGGTAACCCATCAGGTCAGATGGCTCTCATGGGCTGAGGGCAGTTAAGAGAAGAGCGAAGTGGTGAGTGATAGCACCAACAATCACTGGAGCTGATGGCTGGTTAGAGTGGCCCAGAAAAGGGGACCAGGCAGTACATTAACAGCATCAACTAAGATTCACTCCTTCCATGCTCAGACCCACATACAGGGCCCAGGGCAAAATAGAAATGCAGTGCCCCTGGTTCAAAAATTAGGGAAAAGTGCCACTGAAGGTAGTAACATATAAAGCTTTTTAGTTTCTTCTGTAGTTTCTCTCTTGACTTGTAAAAGTGTTTTTCATTTGCTATTTATGTCTAAGTAAAGAAATATTAAAAATTTAAATTATTAACATGAATTATACTATTCATCTTTATATTGTGCAATACCAATTTTAACTGCAAATATAAGAGCATTTAACTCATATACCTCATCACAGATACTACACAATTTGTAGTCTGTAGTCATATATGTGTATGTATTTTGTTCTTCCCAAAACAATGGGAATGCCACACGAAAATGACTCATTGTTTTTATTTCACCTCTTGATACATGTTCTACCAACACTCTCTACTTTCAACTTACCGATGAGTAAGGAAGGGACTGAAAGCCAAAGAAACTATGGGTTGCTCTATCTTCCTCTTTCCTTCAAGTCATTATTTTCAGTGTAAGTAGTTGGCTAATACAGGGAAGTAACATGAATAATGTGTTTCTGGGAATGCCTTTGCCGTCTTTCTGCTTTCAAGTCTGGTCGAAACAGAAAGCTTGGCTTCTTGGAGCTGTCGGCACCCCTGCTCACTCAGTCATAGACGTAACATGCTTTCCTTGTACTCACTTTGAGTCTCACTGAATGCCAGTGCATTCTAGGTCCACTTGAATCCTATGCTCATGGGTGTCATGTGCACGGCATGTGAATGTGGCAGCAAGGCAGCATAACTAGTGTATATCTCCTCTATTCATGTGCATGTTCCATCATCCCAAGAGACTTCAAAACAGCTTTAAAGAAAAAATTATTATGTTAAGACGTTGTGTATATCTCCTCTATTCATGTGCATGCTCTATCATCCCAAGAGACTTCACTTACAAAACAGCTTTAAAGAAAAAATTATTATGTTAAGATGGTGACAGCAGAACATTAAGCCAAGCATGGGCCCTTCTGAGCATCGGCCCTGTGCAGCTCCACAGGTTGCATGCCCATGAAGCTGATCCTGCCCATTTGCCTCTTACATTAAGTTCACTCCAAGCAGGCACAGCTTCTCCAGGATTCTCATTGGTCACAATTCCTAGGGAAATTCAGAAAAGGAGATTAGCCTCCTGCTGCTGCAGTTGACCTCAAGGTTATAACTGATACTCATTATCTCCCTCCATGCCATCCATTCTAGATTTCTCTCATCCTCGACTGGCACTTTTTGTGTGGGATGGCCTAGGCCTTCATCCCTCTGGGGTCTGAGCCCCTGGTTACCATGCCCTAATCAAGCCACATGTGTGGGAGCTCCAAAGGTGCCTCAGTGGCTCACCTCATTGCCACACACATTCTTTGTGTCCCCATTCTGCAGCAACAGCCTTACCAGTTATGGGGACTCCTTCACATGCCTGCTGGTCTATAGGCATGAAGAGTCCAAGTAACTGTACAGCAGCCATAGCTTTAAGGTTAGTGTTATTCTTTGACTCTCTCCAAGAATCAAGACGTCAGGACCTACAGAGCGTAACATTGCAAGGGCAAGAAGCCCAAATTTCCATGGTCACTGGAAGTGACAGTGAGTTTAGCTGCTCCTTTTTGGTTCCCAAACCCATATTTTCTCCCTGTTGAGGACACAGCATCACATAAAGGCCATTGGTTTAAGGGGTAAATAACATTATGAAGAAAATGGCCCTATCTCACAGGGTGTGATTTCCAAGCTGGTAAAGCTGATGCATATTTAAGGGGCCCCATTCCACTGCCATCTCAGATCAGCATCTTCTGGATGTCATGGTTTGTGTGGAAACAGTGGCTCCCAAAGTCACACGATCAACACTGCTGCACTTATTTGCTATAAAGTGTGTTCCTTGTGCTGAGATGTTATATTTTCCTACATTGGTGAATCAGATACTCTGAGTACTCAGAGAGTGGTGCTGGCCAAGGCCATAGTGTGCCTGATTCTCACTATGGAGACCACATAACATTGCTTTCAACCAAGGGACCCACTTCATTATTCTTCTGTAATACATGGGATCAATGTTCTATTCTGTGAAAAATCTGGATGGCCTAGATCCTTTTAGGCTGTATTTTTACAAAGGGCAGGGGAATTAACAGCCTTGGGGGTAAGACTAAATATACACTCCTAACTATCCCAAGTAAATACAAACTACTTCTGTTCCTTCTTCGTGGGAGTGGAAAATAACACAGTTTGCATTTCAATAGCTGCATATCATGGACCAGGGTGGTGTTAATCTACTCTGGCAAAGATACTCCATCCAGCACCAACAGATACAAGTGGAGCTACAACTGGTTGTGTTTGTATTGTTTGTAATGGGGATATGATGAGAACCACCACCAAGTCTTGAGAGTGGCACTTTGAGAATGCCTCTAATTCGCAATATTGTTTTTATTACTATCTTACTTGGTGGGAGGTGGGTGTAGTTTGGGCATTTTACAAGCTTATACTTGGCATTTTCTACTATAAGAGCTCTTACCCTATGAGTCAAAATCCATTGCTAAATAGGTCCATTTCAATTACATATCCAGGAAATGGACAAAATAATGTGTGTGAAGTTCAGTAGACTCAGGGAACCCACTGTGGAAAGGACCTGGGCCAGAACTCCATTTATCACCTGACTCTTATATGTCCCTATTCTACTAGGGGGACAATGATGGCACTTTGGGTACCTGGTTATCAGCATCAACTCTGAGTCTATATCCACCAACCTTTGGAAAATCTAGGTATTTTCCTTTCTCCAGTAGACTCAAATAAATAACCATAGATCTATTTGGAAAATAAGTGAGAGAATCATATTTACCAGGGTGATGCAGAGTCTTCTCTTATGGGGACCTGGCCTCTCATTCCGTCACTGGAATCTGGGTCTGAGAATTGGCTCAGATCTAGAAATTAGGCAAAGGATTTGCCTAATTTACATTAGGATTTGCCATATTTCCATTAGAGCATCTGACCCCAGCCTTTTGCTAATTCATACTTGGTCATTTTTTATTATATATATTAAGCAATACTTTTGTTGACTGCTCATCTATCTTGCTCCTAAGAATGCCATGTTCTATTAATCATCAACACAGAAGATTCCTGTGGACCAGGGCCCCTTATCTCCTATTCCAACTTCGTTGCCCATTATAATTATACACACCCATCTTGCTTCTAAGAGTTAAGGTCTACCCAGCCTTTGATAGCCTGTAGTCCTGTCCTCCATGTTTATATAAAGGAGTTTTGTAATGGTTTATCCTACCAGCCTACAGAGAATATCCAATACTCAGTTTCTCAGTAATGTTGGTGCCCCTTCACCAGTTCATTCCTTACCCTCTAAATAAATGGAGTGTCTGCCAGGTCTCCCAAGAAACATAGACAGTTGATGGGTTTTCTCATCTTGTATCTTAGATCCATTCTAGCGTGCCTACTTCTTTGAGCCTTGTATTCCTTCCTCCATATCCTGCTACAGCAGTTCTGTCACCTCAACTTTATTACTCTGGCCCATGACTTTTGCCAAGCTTCCAAGAGCTACTCTAGCAATATATTAGATCCATCTCCCAGGGCTCCAGGGCCCTTAACAGACTATTAAATCCTATATCACTGGTGACCCCAAATCAACAAACTCTCCTTACCTAGTTTCATATTCTGCCCTCTTGGTCTAGCACTCTCAGAATCCACACTCAGTCATTCTCTCCCAGTTGCTCCTAGTACATGTTAAAGAGTCCCTCTCAGAGACCCAGCCCTTCCCCAGTCAGATTGCACTGAAACTTGACCATAATGGCCAAGCAAGTGGTCAGGAGTAGTATAAGCAGATCCTGAGGAAGGTATACATTTTCTTTTGAGACACCTGCATCATTTAATCATTTAAGGTTTTTGCATTGTCTTCAAATGTGTCAGGTGGGCAGTGGAGCAGGGTTTGCATTTATAGTAAGAATGAGCAGATTACTTCAATAGTCCAAGAGTGCTCAGAAGAACCAGGGGGTTCCAGGTTCTCATGTGTTTCACCTATATCTCAAGATCCCACTGCTTCCCTGTGAAAGGCCTGACTTTGGCATAGGTGACTTACCTAAGCTGAGAATTCAGCCTCTCTAAAATTCTACAGCTCTTACAGTTAAGGCTTGTGCCTGGTCTTCAGTTCTCCCTGCCCTCTAATTAAAGGAGATGAGAATCTCTTTAAATTCCACCAAGGAAGCCCTCTAATTATTATACTTTGCTCTAACTTTGTGATTGATTGCCCTGAACCTGTCATTTTCTCTCACCAAAGCATCAGTGGCCTCCAGCAATAGTCACCCATTTTCTCAGTCCTCATTATTACTATTTCCTGGGAAGACCAAGGAGATATTACTCATGTCAGTGCCTCCCTCCCCCTTTATCCTATCCTAGTTCTCTTCACATGTTTTAGCAATTGCTCTGCTACTGAACACCAGGGATCATCAGGACATGTTACTTACTGCGGTTCTCGTTGCCAGCTGAACAATAAATGGGCCACCTCCAGAACTGCATCTTAGAATCTACTTTTAGGTGAACTGTATGGAACCAACTGTCCCAGGTCAGCTGCCATGGAAACAGAGGCTAAGACTGGATTTTGGTGTATGTAATTTATTAAGGAAGTGTTCTTTAGGAAAACTCTTTAAGAAAATGAAGAAAAGATAGAGAACAGAAAAGAGTAAGATGAGTTCCCGGGTAAAACAAATCTTGAATTGTTCCACGGGGGAGCTCAAAAGTACAAACTGCAGACAAAATTGTCCTTTGGCTAGAGCTGCCTCAGGGGTGAAGATGGGGGATGAGGGGGTTATGTAAAAAGGTAATTCTCCAGTGAGCTGTTAGAAGCCACACACACAGCAACCAGGTAAAGGGGATCCCAGAGGGGCGCCTGCAGCATCTTCTGCAATTGTGAGAGTATTTTTTTAAATGAAAAACATTACATATAGATGAGTTTACATGTACCGCTGTCTACTGAAACCTAATCTGGCGGTATAGTTTTTTATTCACATTTCTGTCTCCAATGCAAGATTCTAAGCTCCTTTGTGACAAGGACTCTGTCCTATTCATCTATGTATTCCTAATTCAGAGGCTGGCATCAAATTGTTACTAAATAAACATTCATCAAATGAAGAGCAATTTGGGGTAGATCACAGAGCAATTTGAACTCCAGGCTAAGTAATTTGGGTGTAATTCTGTTGGCAGTTAGAAAGAGTTTGAAATGTTTGTTGGCAGTGGTGTGTAATATGTATTGGACAAGGGAGAGAATGGAGAGAACGTCCAAGAGGCTGTTGCAGCAATACAGGCAAAAGTAACAAGAGGCAGAATTCCGGTGGAGGCCATAAGTGTGGAGAGGCAGATGCAAAAGCCATTTAAGAAAATTATCTGCAGGATCCAGATGGCCCAGGCTGACATCCAGTACAGAGCCCATCGAGGATGCTAATTAATCAAGTGCGTTGTTTTGTACATATCCGCCCCCAAGCAGATAGAAGACAAGTTCTCACGTTTGCATGGAAGAAATAGCTAAATAATAAATCCATGTGGGTTTTTTCATTGTCATCATGCACATGGTGAAATCCGTGTAGTAGGTAAAATCCGTGTAGTAGGCATGGGAATCTTTTCTTTCCCTTCATATTTTGACCAGAATCCTACAGTCATATCTGAGAAAACCCAAGGTCATCAATGTGGAATTTGCTCAGTTCATTTGCACATGGATACTTAAAATTAAGGTGGTATCCAGTGACATTGCTTTCAAATCAATCATTCTATACAGTAATATATGTTCCAAAGCTGCAGACTGAGCACATTATTCTCAGCTGTACTCTGGACTGTATCCTGGGTGGAGTAATTTATTGGTGACTCATATGGATCTTATACACATCAGGAAATATGTGGGGTTTTTTTTTCTCTTTTCTCTGAATTCTTCCAGGCCTTGACTTTAGGCAAAGCTATGTACCTTTCTCTCTGACTTTTGGCCAGGTTCCTGCTCCTCATGTTGTTCTCCGAGATCCTGGGATGCCTGTTACATGGACTGGACGTGGATTAGCCAGAGTTCTCACTGGGGATGGCTTAAGATTTGCTGTCAACAACATTCCCTTTCCCATGGACTTCACCATGGCCATTCGCTATGAAGCTCAGGTACCCTTTAAGTCAAATGTCTTTGGTGATGAAAAGCTGAAATGCATTCTTGAACCAAGTTTCCATTCCAGTCTTACAAGATAGGTTTATCATAAAATGAATTGCAGAAAGTAGAACATCTGGAAAGCATTACATGCAAAAAGGTTTCCTAAAGATATTAAAGCAACACAGTGAGCCATATGCACACATGCTTTATTCCAGAGAGAAAAGCTAAAGTTGAAGTTATATATTTAAAGCATTAGGTCTAAGGAAGCGGTGATGGAATGTTTGTATAAGAATAATAAATAACTCAAATAACACAAATTCCACTCTCCTGGGACTTTTTTTCTAAAAATTTAATCAGCTAACATGTGCAGAGATTCAGACTCAAGGGATGCAGAAGAGGAATTTATTTGCATTTTGGTTTTTCCTTGAAACAAGAGAAAAACTAAAAGCAGGCTGCTTCTCCTGCCTCCCGCTGCCTCTTGAGAAATATCTAAGACAGAAAAGAAAACAAATGAGAAAAATGCTGATCCAAAGCATAGTTCCTAACCTTTTCTTCGCATAATCTTTTTCTTGATAATCTGAAACCCCGCAGACCATCTCCCTTGAAAAAGATTTTATATGACTGGGAGTCGGGGGGTGGTATCAGAGCCCCCAAAGTCCTTCTAGGGGCAACGTTCTGGAAGCACTCAATGTGTGTTATATGATCAGAGATACAACATAATTCTCTATTTCTCACTTACAAATGAAAGCTAAGGAACTTCATAAACTTTGACCTGGTAAGTATGACAAGAAAGTTTATATATATATATTCTTTTTTTTCCAAAGAGAGAACACATCTCTAACAGCTATAAAACACTTTTTCAAATTGTAAATCTTCCAGAGTATAACAAATTAGCATATGCTATAAATATATGTATATATATTTAGACACATATAAATATATCTAGTAATATAATAATTATTAAATAATATGAAATAAGTTAATTTATATAATAATGTATATGTAATAACATGAAAACAGTATATATCCTTTTGTGAAGGATGCCAAATTTTTATTTTTATTCTATGATCCAGAAACACAATGAATTAATCGACTCTGGGAGACAGAGTTTAAAGACATGACCTGTCATGACTAATAGGGTTTTCCAGGCCCATGAACTATAGCTATGGCCATAAACAATATTTCTTCTACCTGGACCACAATTCAGACACCAGGGAGCTAGCCCTAAGAGTGAACCTCTAAGACTTCTTTTACTTCAAAATTCTATTTTCCAAGTGGGGTATAGGTTGCAAATTCAATTCCATGCCCTATTCGGTAGGTATATGTTTGTGCATGCAAAGCAGATTTCTGCATCCTCACAATGACATGCTTTAATATCATGCCTGTCTAGTCCACAGCTGACTGGGCTGTCCAGATCGTGGTTAACCCCCCTGGAGGAAGTGAGTACTGTACACGCAAGACCCCACCACAAAAGCCTCATTCTTTTGCCTTACCAGCAGCTTCCAGGTATGCTTGAGACCTGTCCTCAAACATTGAAGATTTCTTAGAATTTTGTTCATACATTAATAATCTGTATCCAGGAACTAGATGGGAGAAGAGGCATATTAAAGAAGACAATAGAATGTTTCTTTCCCGATGGCCTTGATGTGAAAAAGTAAAATGCTACAAGAATAAGAGTAAAATATTTAGGTTGGATTTTCTCAGCTAAGAATCTGTAAGGTAAAATGCTAGTAATTTTGGGCCACTAATTTTTCCTCAGCAGAGATTTATGGCAAAATGAAACAGAAAACCCATTGATATTAGCATGGTAGATAAGGATGGAGGACATTTGCTCCATCCTTTCTCCAAAGCAGTCATGACAATGCAGCGCCAATAGTTTCTAAGGCTTCGCTATTTGGTATAACCTATGGAAGAGCTATGCAGAATCTGAATGTGAATTTACTGTCCACCCAGCCCACCTGAACTGTTCTAGACCTAGACCTAGCCTCCGCCCCACAATGGAACCCACATCACAGCACAGGTGGGACACTACCAAATACTACTGCTGCTTAGATTATATAAGTTTACTTTTGTCATGAATTTTTGCTTTATTTCTCTTAATACAGAATTATGCTGCTTCCCACACCCATCTGTTTAGAACCAAATGTACAATATTCCATAGATGTCTATTTTTCCCAGCCTTTGCAAGACAGGTCCCATGCTCATTCACATATCCTGGTTGATTCTGTAAGTATCACCGAGCTTTGTGGGTTCTTCCCTCTAAACTGAGCTCCATTACAGTTCTGCTTTTTGACTCTCTAGTGAAATGTTTCTTCAGAAGCTTAAATATATTTGTTTCATTATAAAAATCACCTATTCTCTATAAAAGTCACGTAATAACAATTGGAAATCCTGTAGAACAGTATGTGCTAGTAACAGTTTGAAGTGTTTTACATATTCTATTATTTGGTCTTACAGAGTCAATAACTCTATAGGGGAGGTACTCTTATTATCTTCATTCATAGACAATAGAACTGAGACTCAGGGTAACAAAGCTAGTGAGTGAGGAGTCAGAAATCAGAGCCAAACTACCTGATTCCAGAGACCCTACTCTGAGCCACAGCAGTTTACAGAGAGTTTAAGGAGAAATCCCACTGCTTTAATTATTATCGTCTTGCAAGTTTTCATTTTATACATATTATGCTTTTATATTATTGTAATCAGAATGCTCTTACAAGTATGTATATGGATTTTTTTCACTTCACATTATGTCATAAGCATTTTCTTGTGGTGCTTATGCAGTCTTATTATCATTTTTAGGAACCATGCATAATGTTGTCTTGAGTGACTTCTTTTAGCGTCTTTGCCTCACAGAATTTAGCCACAATCATTCCATCCAAACCTCTCACTCTGCACAACTTCAGGCCCAGGCTTGTCAGAGTTCAGGCATTGAGTAAATTTACATAATCTACTTATCTATTCCCCTACTTGTGATCATTTAAGTTCTTTCTATTTTTCACTACTATGTATAGTTGGTACATATTTTTAAAATGTTTTAAAATACAGTGTTCTGCTTTACCCAAGGTTTTATGGCTCTTGAAATAACTTATCAAGTTAATTTCTATAAGGTATTCTTCAATTAATTTTCAGGATTATCAAAATATATGGAGCACCAATTTCATCCCCCTTTTAGCAGAATTATATAGAATTGCTTGAGATTTTTTTAAGTAATTTTGTGTATAAAAATCAAATTGTTTTGTTAAAATTGCATTTTTTAATATTTGTGAGAATCTTCTAATATCATGACTTAATTGGCAAACTATAGACTACAAATTTTATTGGAACATAGCCCTGCTGTTTTGTTTACATGTTATCTATGGTTGCTTTCAAGCTACAGAGGCAGAGCTGAGTAGTTATAACAGAGACCTTGGGGCTACAAAGCCATAACTATGCCTTACAAGAAATTTGTTGACCTTTGATTTTAATTAGCTACATATCCATGTTTTGTGAATTATGTCTTCAGAGTTCAATTTTTAACCATTGAATATTTTAAATTTATACCCTTAAACTTTGTTATTTCACAATCTACTATAGAATTCAATATGAGGCAGATATATCTTGGATTTTATTCAATAAGTTCAGTTATTATAACATAAAAAAGTCATTGTTTAAGATTATTTTACTGAAAGTAGAGTCGCAAAATTTAATGAAAAGGAAAAGAAGAAAGAAAGAAACAGGACATCAAGTTAACTTTAAATTTTTTATAAATATGTCCCAAATATTGCCCTCAAATGATATGTGTTTATGCTAAAAAATTATTCATTGTTTCTCTGAAATTCAGTTTTAAGTGAGTGATTTGCATTTAACTTGGCAACCTTAACCAAAGGTCTAAAGTTTACACCTGGAAGGCCATATAATATTGTGGTGAGGTTCTACTACGTTGTGGTAGAAATAAAGTGCAAAGGAGAAACAAACTCTTGAATGGAAAATTTAAACTATCGTAATTCCTGTATCCATACAACTCATATTTTCTGCCAAGGAGCTTTAAATAGAACTGTGCTCATGAACCAACATACAAGTTACAAAGAAAGAACATCATATACAACAAGTTTAATCCAGGGAGAAAAAACTAAGAGTTGGGAACCCAGGCAGAGTAAAGAAAGGGAAAGGAAGAAAATAAGAAAGTGCTAAATCACAAAGGGATGTTTAATAATAATAATTAATAATAATAATAATAAATTATGAAACTCAAATTTATAAGAGCCAAGTTACAACTCATTTGAAATCCATATATTAAATATTTCTAAACTTTGTAAATTCCAAAGATCATCACCTAATCCATCCAAATTATTCATTCATCATCATTCACTGAGTGTATATGGGCCAAGAGCTATGCTGGTCCCTTGGGTATAAAATATGGTTCTTACTCTCAAAGAATTCTCACTCTGATAAAGAAGACATCCATGTAAACAAAATCATGACAATGATATTTGATAGATGCTTTATATAAATGGATAATTTGAAATTAACTTAAAATATATCCAGTTGATCAGTTTTCAAACAATCATTCTCTATGTACAGCTATGAAAACCCTGAAACATGAATAGAAATTAAGAGAATAGGCTAATCTTGGCAAACTGTCAGAAACCTCAGAAAAGGCCTTAGATCCCTGTTTTAGGTCAGATTCCCTAGAAGCAGAAGCTGAAACAGGGTCTCTGGTGCACCTGATTTACTGATGGCATGTGCACAGGAGAAGAGGAATGAGGAGAACTGGAGAGGATAGGGCAGGACTCAAGCAGAGATGTGGTCTCAACTGAAGAGTAGCTTCAGCTGGATCCCACATGGAGCTCTGGTACATGCACTACATCACGGAACTGGTTCCACGTGGAGGTGAAGTGGTGAGCCTGCATGTGCCCAAGTCATTGGCTCACCACCCCATCCAGTGAGCCCTTGAAATTCTGGACAAGGTGGCCGAGTCCAATTTTTTGGAGAAGGGCACAGCTGTGAGCCTTTAGCTGCCAATGTCACAGCAGCTGGCAGATGGGAACATCTGGGCAGGCTACCTACAATGTCCCCTATAGTCTCTGTCCCAGGATATTTAGTAGGAGAAAGTCATTGTTGTTTTCACATCACCAATTTTGTGGCTCTGGAAAGATACTTAACTGCCTGGGACCTGGTCCTTTCAAAGTTTATTCTTCTCTGCAACCAGATTAACATTTGCATCAAAAGCTAGAGTGCATTACCAAGAAGACCAGATGAAAGCTTTGTTCAATCCTGGATGCTCCTTCTGCACAAATACCTTTTGTCTGGCAACATAGTGAGAACATTAATTTTTTTCAGTCACCCTGATTATATGATATGTGCCCTCATAAAAATGTGTTTCAAGTCAAAAGCATATTAGATATTCTCAAATATAAAACTGCCGTCCTTCTTCTAAACTATGGAATAGACTACATTTGATAAACATAAAGTGCTAACAAGTTTCTAGGAGAAGTGAGTATAGCATTACAAAATTCTATCGCTGACATTCTTATCATCTGATCTATCTACTTGGTACCAAAAGTGATCAGCTCTACACTAGCTCTGCCCAATAACTCTGAATAATTAACCCCTGATTGGCTCTCCTCATCCTCATCCCTAGCCCATCTGGCTTCCTTCTGCATTTCATTCTACTTGGTTTATTGGTTTGTGTTTGGAGAAAGCAAAGTCATTTTAGTATCAAATTAAAAATACAATATTAGAAATATATATATATACTTTCTTATTGAAAACATCTTTATGGAGTACTTGCTATAAATGAGACACTGTGGTAGGCACAGGTGTAAACAAGACAGGTACCTTCGCTGCTGTGCCAGGGCTTGCTCTGTAAAGGGGACGTGCAGACAATTACACAGGAAATGACGACACAATGTGAGAGATACTGAGAGCTGTGATAAGCAGCGAACTGAAAAGTTCAGAGTGGCTCAGGCAGTGGTTCTCAATGTTATCTTACCCAACCTTCCCTTCTTACTAGAATATTTCATAACACTCTTTACTATCCTGAAATGAAATTCATAGGCTTTATAGCCTTCCTATACATAACTTCCACATAATATCAATGTAGTGTGTAAATACAAAGAAGAAATAAAAGGAAAGTGATTTATAAAGAAATAATATGTACTGCAATATGTATACGCACAGGCGTGAACGTACCAGAAGACACAGTGAAGCAGACATTCATACATGTGGAGCCACTGTGTATGAGACAACCATGAAAGTGCGTGTAACAGAGACAAGTTTAACATGTTTTAAAAACATAGAGTAAGGCTTTCAACTTATAATTATAAATGAATTTCTCCTTCATGAATTTTCAGTGGAACATTCAAAACCTGTAGAAGACATGAGGTGACTTTCCTTTTTATGAGAATGCCTAGCATTTTTGGCTCCCACCCACTAAATGCCATGACAGTGAAAATCACCACTTAGAATTTCCCAAATGCCTTCTAGAGAGCGATACTTCCCATATTGAGGACACTGAGCTGAGAGAAATGAATGAATGAATGAATGAATGAATAGAGATGAAGCTTAGATTTTATCCTGAGGCAGTAGGAAGCCAGTGAAAGATTTTAAGGAAGGGGTTATCTGAACAAACTTTTAAAAGATCGCTCTGACTATAAGGTAGAATATTGATGGGGAAGGGAGGACAAAAGTTGAAGATGAGACACATATTGGGCTGCCACTGTGGTAATCTAAGTGGCCCAATTAGGGAAGTGGCAGGGGAACAAAGAACAATAAATGCATCCTGGACACATTTAATATAGGTCAGATTGACCAGGCTTGTGTTAGACTTGACATGTGGGGGATGGAGATGGGTGGGGAGTATTGATGACAAAGATGTAGGTATTAGAGATGATGTTCTTCAGTTTTCTACCCTGAGCATCCTGGAAGATGGTGACATTATTTCCTGACAATATGTACGGAAGGGAAAGTAAATCTCAGGTGTGTCTTGTTTGCAGTGTCTGTGAAACAACCCATAGGCTTGTCTGTGTAGATCTGTGCATATCTGGGGCCCACAACTGAGATGTAGGCAGGAGACATAAATTCCAATATTAGTAGCCTATAGATGGTAACTGAAAGAAGGCACAGCATTGTCAAGGTCACCTAGGAAGTGGGTGTAGAATAAGAAGGGGGCTGATGAGAGAACCCTGAAGAACTCAACATTTGGGGATATGTGGAGGGAGAAGTACTGTTTTGGCAAGAAAAGTGAGCAGGAGAAGAGGTGGTGGGGATGGCATAGAAACAATTTTTCAGGAAATTTGATGATCAGGGAGTCAATCCAGGGGCAGTGGCAGGAGAAATATATGAGATCAAGGAGGTGATTTTATAGATGGGAGAGACTTAAGCACATTTAAATACCAGTTGAAAGGAAGAGATTGAAGAAAGAAAGCAAAATCCACAGAAAAGTGTCCTGAAGGCAGAAAGAAGAGCAGTGGGACATCTCTTCCACTGGGATTCCTCTTCTTCATAAGCCCTGAGTCAAAGACAGGTGACAGCCCTTTCTCTGTGAATTAAGAAGAGTAAGAGGCAATGGCACATGCTGAGAGTACAAGGAGTATGAGGCTAGAGGTTTGAGGAGTCGAGACGCTTTGAAATAGTCATCTAGGGTTGAGATCCCATCTGCTGGTGTGTGAGAGGACAAATAGAGAAGGGGGGTCGAAGTAAAGAACCATGGAAACTAGTTTCAGTATGGACAAAACAAAAAGACCAGGGGAGACTTATCTGTGCTACTGAATTCACTCTCCTAACATGACCTGCTGAATTAAAACTTATTTCTAATGTTGCTTGTTCCATCAGTTGTTCAAAATGACCAACTTGGTGTGATCAATTTGCTGTACCAACACCTCTGCTGTATCATCCAAGCCATGAATGAACTTTTTAAATAGTATCAGGTTATAACTTCTCAAGAAATATAACTATATAGCTTTTCTTTACATAGATGTTAAACTATAGATGAGTCATCCTTGAGAATAAACTTATAATGATGCATTTGTCTCCAGAATAGCTGTATAATCTAAGCCGGCAACTCTCAAAATGCATCTGTGAAATCTTGATTTTTACAAGATGTTAGTAAGCGTTGTTTGAATATAGAACCAAGTGATTAAATAAGTCTGGAAACACTGAGTTCATAAAGTATTTTTCTTGCTGGACTTCTTAGTCTTTGGTATAGTAATCTATTCTGTGAATTTCCAAGATATATGTGTGTGTGTGTCTGTGTGTGTGTGTGTGTGTGTGTATACATAGTTTACTATAAAACACCACTGTTCACAAGTAACTGAAAAAGACAAAAATTTAAAGGAAAATTTTATGGAATTAGAGTTCTACAGTAACACTACGGAATGCCCTAAGCCATAATTTCTTAATTTATTACAAGTAGCCTAGTTGAAAGTCTTTCAAATCTAACACAAATTTATTAGCAGCTTAAAAATATAATAATAAGGACAGTAAAAAGATAAAGACATTTATTTTCTTTGCCACAGGTCAATAAATGGAAATAATTAAAGACTTCGTAAATAAGTTGAAAATCTTAAAATCTTTAGTTGTAAGCCATTTAAAGAATTGAATTGAGTCTCTTTTCAACCATTAGTTGCATAGCTCTAATTTTTTTATATCTAGAATCTGGAACAGGAGACACTTGTGAACATAAGTCTTCTTTTCTCATTATTTTAAAAGCTTGGTCTTATTCCCCAAATCAATTCATTGGAGAATTTCTGCAGCAAGCAGGATTTGGATGAATATCAACTGCACAACTGTGTTGAAATTGCCTCGGAAACAGGACCTCAAGTGCTCCCTGGCACATGTAAAAGGCTTATAGTCAGCATGTCTGCCAGGCTACACGATGGCGCAGTAGGTGAGTATCTGTTTAGTAGGCTCTGCTGAAGCTTTGCTATCTATACAAATGCTTTTTTTTGGAAAGTGAGTAAATTGATTTTATTTATTTTAGCATCTGCTCCAAACAACCAATGTAAATACCCCTTGCCCAGTGATGACATACACAGAGCAGTCTGTTGATGTGTTGGAATCCTAACTCATAGTACAGGAAATATATAAAAGAGGGGTCTCGCAGTAGCATTAAGATGCTAGATTGCTGGAGAAATGGTCTTAAAATATTTATTTGGAAAACGGAATTTTAGGGCTGAATCAAACTCTAAACTTCTTTCATCCCCAAACCTTCATTTAATAAATGAGAATATTAGGGTCCAAAAACATTAGGTATCCTGCCCATTTCACTAAGCTGTAGAGGAGGATTTCTCACCCTCAGCACTTTTGAAATGTGGGACTGCATAATACCTGTCATAGAAGTGGGGTGATCTGTCCTGTACATTATAGGATCTTTCGCTACATCTCTACCTTCTACCCAGCTGATACCAGTAGCACCCTCCCCATAGTTGTGACATTCAAAAAAGTTTTTAAACTTTGTCATATGTCCCCTGGAGGGGGCATGGCAAAATCTCCTCCCAAAGTGAGAACCACTGCTATAGAGTGACAGCTCCAATGACAGCCTGGGTTTCCTGAGTTCTAGGCAAATGCTTTTTCTGTTATACTGCAGGTCTCTGGCTCCAAGGTATCCACAATCTCATAAAAGATATGGAATAAGGAAATCAAAGATATAGTCCAGCACCAACATAGATCATCAGAAATTGAAGTAATAATAATATCAATAATAATAATTATATTGGAACAAATAATTATTAAAACAACTTAAGCCTTTCATTAACTTAAGTAATGTTTAATGTTGTTAAATTTATTATTTTTTTTTTAAGGTGAGTCAACCCTTGGTTGACCTCACAGATTGCAAGGACCTTGTCAGCTAACAATCCCTTATTTTTTTAATTTTTACGCCTACAGCACCTGGTCTTCCTAGGTGGTCTCCCATCCAAGTACTAATTAGGCCCAACCCTGCTTAGCTTCCAAGATCAGACAGGATCGGGCTTGTTCAGGGTGGCTTGGCCGTAGTACATTTATTTATTAAGTTATGTTTATTTAGCACTCATACTGTTCCAAGTACTTCACAGGTGGTGTGGTGTTCGATCTTTATAATCCCATTTGGTAGGTCTTATCTTCATTTAATAGGCAAGGGAGTTAAGGACTGGAGAGGTACCAAGTGAGAGGTGGACTAAAGCTACTAACAGGATGAAGTGTTCCTCTGTTACTTTGTTCATTTCTAACTTGCTTCTTTTGTTCCCTGAAGCCTGCAAGTGTCACCCCCAGGGCTCAGTTGGGACCAGCTGCAGCCAACTTGGAGGCCAATGCCAGTGTAAGCCCCATGTGACTGGGCGCTGCTGTGACAGGTGCTCAACGGGAAGCTACGGTTTGGGGCATCAAGGTTGTCACTGTAAGTAACAAAAAACAGAGGAGGAAACATGCTTGGTCACAACCTTGGCGTTTCAAAGGCAGGAAAGTCCATGTGGTGAATCTAAAATGGGAGAGAATTGAGAATTTGACTACGTTATTCAGATTGTCTATGTAGATAAAATGTACTGACATTTTTTTCTGCCATACTTCATTCATCCATTCACTGAGCAGTGACTATATACAGAGCTCTATTTGGAAGCATGAGTAGTCATAAAAACATGGTCCATGCTTCTGGAAGTTGGAATTCTATATCAAATAGATGGTAGTTCAAGTAGAATGTGGGAACACCATCAAGGGAGTTAGCTGTGCAAACCCAGCTGAATGATCTGGCACATAAGCATGGTGGCTGGAAAGGCTAAAACAGTGATGATATTGGGAAGTCAAAAAAGAGGACAACGCTGTCACCAGGATATTACTCTTTCTGATGCTGGGATCACAAACAGCATTGGAACTCATTTTATAAGCCTCCCATTAACAAAGGCTTAGGTGGGGCTTCGTCCACAGTTGATAATTCAGTTCTCATGGTTGTTATGTTCAGGCTACATAGTTCTCTGTTGCGATGTAAACCATTAGTGAAAATACTGTTCCCCACAGAAACCTACCTTAGGAACCATGAAAACCACCAGGTACATTAAATCTCCTCTCCGGTAGGGAAACATATCTTTTTAGTCATAATTCAGAGAGACGGCACAACTTCCTGCCTGCCTAGTAAACAGTCTATCAAATAGCTTAGGTCCATCATCCTTCTTTTTTGTCCTTTTCTTAAAAAAAAACAAACAAACAAAAAAAAAAAACTATAAAGTGTTTGAGATACACAAAGGAGCAAACATTTCTTTCATGTAGCACCCATCAAACAAACAGGCATCATATTTTTGTATGGAGAAGACTGGCTCAAAGGATTCAACAATTTACCAGAAAAGGATTAAATCTCCACTATCTTGCCTAGGAAAAAGAAAAATCTGACCTTTGCGAGAGGGATTCTTATATTTTTTATGGTCTTCAAGTTTGACTCCCAAGATATACAAAAGTTCAAGTCATTAAAAACATGTTACCATTCAGTTTCTCTATATAAACAACATTTATCTGACCCAGTTGTCCACACATTCATCTGGTACCTACCACACACACACACACACACACACACACACACACAACACTCTATTCTAGGCGCTTTAGAAACTCTATTCACCTTGATTGAGATGACAAATGAGTCAGGGACTACAGAATTAGAACTGTACCTCTTTCACTAGCACACCACTTGTCCTCCACCCCAACATGCTTCTCTTTGCTTTATCTAGCATGTCACTGCCACCATCAAGGCTCAAAGAGCACTGTATGTGACCAAATAACAGGACAGTGCCCCTGCCAGGAAGAGGTGGCTGGCCTCCGCTGCGACCGGTGCCTGCAGGGCTATTTTGGATTTCCCAACTGCCGCCCTTGCCATTGTAATGGGTTTGCTGAACTTTGTGATCCAGAGACAGGATCGTGCTTCAACTGCGGGAGGTTTACAACTGGAAGAAACTGTGAAAGGTATGAAATTCATGTGCACTTTAGTCTTTAGTTTTTTTCTTTTGTTCTGTTCTCACAACACTCTCAAAGGACCATCGAGTAGAAACTCAACAACATTTAAATATAGAGTTGTTGCTATAGGTGGGGAAGATTGTGTCATTCCATTGTCCTTCAAAATCTTGTTATAAGCCAGACAATGTCTGGTTAAATCGATAACAGTCATTTGCCTGGCACCTTGCATTTTATTCCTGAAATAAGACATGCAAATTAAGTGCTATTATATTGAGTTTAATGACTATGCCATGAGACTTTTAAAAGCAAACAATTTTTGGACAGAGAAAATAAACATCTTCTAAAATAATGAATTTCAGAGTTGCACTATCCGAATGCATAGCAAATTCACGTTGGCTAACGTGAGCTTTTCCTGGGAACACTTTGGTAAAAAGAAATTACCTTGACAGATGCATCAATGGTTACTATGGAAACCCTTCTTCGGGACAGTCCTGCCGTCCTTGCCCGTGTCCAGATGTTCCATCGAGTAATTGGTATTTTGCCCATTCCTGTTATCAGAATCCTTGGAGCTCAGAGGTAATCTGCAATTGTCTTGAAGGTTATGCAGGTATGCAGTATAGTTCCTGGTGGTTATTTTCCTTCCATTCCACACTACTACCTGAAAAATAATTACATATTAACAATTTATCTGCCTTGGCCAAATGAGTGGTGCAGAATTAAAGTTTGTGGTAAGAAGACACAATTTGGAAAGTTGCCACTTTACTGAACAAATTTGAATGATTCAAAACCAATGACAATTTAAAACCCATTCCATTGAGCTATCGTTTTTAAATAATGTTGTGGAAAACTAACTGGCCAAATGAGTTCAAACCAAATTAATTTCTTTAAAACAAAATCATCACATGTTAAGATACATATGTGATTAAGTAAATATATATGTGATATGTATTACATATCACATAAGCATTTAAAAAGTAAAAAGAAAAAAAATGTTACTCAGTCGAATGCTTTTTTCGTATAATTCCAAGCAATCAATTTGACTGGTATTTCACAGATAAAACTAATTTTTTCTGATGTCTAGAAGCACTGATTTGGGCAATGAATATAGACTTCATAAGTCAGTTCGGTATTTGTGCCTGTTGCTCAAACATTTTATTTTGCAGAGGTAAAGCATGAGTATAATATATAATGCAAATGAGGAAAAAACTTAAGTCTACTTCACTCAATCCCACTTAGAAAATATAGTGCTTTTATTTTCTTCAATGATAATTAACATAGTGACAATAAATTACATGACTAATATTTTTCTTATTTGCTACTTCTAAGGTTATGTTTCTAGCTAATTCTCTTCCCTTATAGTCTCTTCTCCATGCACACTTTGACTTGGTTGGTCAGTTTCTAGAGCAGAGATCATGACTAAGCTATGAGAGCATTTCTAAATGGAATGAACCAAAACGTGGAGAATGGACCCACAGGTTGGGCACCTACACAAGTGCAGTTGCCTCTTGGTTGGAAGGGTAAAGAGTATAGGAGAGAAGGGATGGTTTCTCCATGTGGTGCTTAATAAAACCATTCTCTTGGTCTCATAATCAAGGAAACTATTCTCACCCATCTTCACTTCTAGACACATATCTCAAGCTGCTGCCATTTCACCTCTAGGAACAGGTGAAGGGTGGGGTGCTTGGGGAGAACAGGGGATGAGACAAGCTTTGAGTCCTGGAACACACTAGGGTGACCCTGGTTCTGTAAGGATCCAGGGGTCCTGTGCCCACAAATTCAGGTTTTATAGAAAGACTAGAATTCATTCTTCACCAAGGACATTTTTAGCTCTAAATAATCATTTTATGGTCTGAATCGATAATAAATTAAAAATAAATGCTGTTTTAATTTAGAACAATTTTCCTTACTTATCCTCAATGTGCCACCTCTAATTATTCCTAGAGGAGCCCAGTTATTCTCTATTTACACCAATGGCCATCCTCTTCCCACATCCAATGCAGACACACACTCCTCATCTTATTCCCTTTTCCTCTCCCAATCTTTTAGGTAAGCAGTGTGAAGAATGCTCTGCTGGTTTCTATGGAAATCCAAGAATTTCTGGAGCACCTTGCAGGCCATGTGCCTGCAACAACAACATTGATATAACTGACCCAGAGTCCTGTAGCCAAGTAACAGGGGAGTGCCTTAAATGTCTGCACAACACTCAGGGGCCCAACTGCCAGCTCTGCAAACCAGGTCACTTTGGATCGGCCCTCAATCAGACTTGCAGAAGTAAGTCTGCAAGGCCCCTGGGGAGAAATGTGACAGTGGAGTGGCAGCTCTCCCATGCTCATTTTGGTTAGGCCAGTAGTGTCAGCACCCACTGAGTAACAGGTGTTGCACTGAACTCATCAGCAAAAATGGGTGCAGCGCCACCACGAGTATTTCAGATGCAGCTACAGTTTACTCACTGGTGTTAGCAGTTTGCCTTTTGTGACTCTTACCTTCAAAACTTGCCCTGGTAGAATCTGAGCATTGTTTCTCAGAGTATGGTCCCAGGAGCACTGTGCCAGAATCACCTGGGGATAAGGTAGGGTATTAACATGGGGATTCCTGGGCTGTACCTCAGACCCATGGAGCTGAATCTCTGGGAGTGAGGCCCAGAAATCTGCATTGTTACAAGCTCATCAAGTGACTTCAGTGTATAGGTACAAGAATCATTGATGTAGAAGAGGATAAGAGTTTAATTTTATGATAAAGAGGAAAAATAAATTGCTCATTTTTAGAAGATATCTCAACTATTTCTGTTCCCCAAGTCGATTTAGTGAAAACCATTTGTTTTCAGATCCTTTACATAAATGGAACTTTGGTGCATGGAACCAGGGAAGAAGTGAGACTTTTGGTCTTCCTAATTGTGAGCTCTTGAAACATGATTGGCAGAACCATATGAAATTGCTGTTTTGGGAGATTACCAACAATTGAATGGGTTCAGCCTATTTAGATTCTTTGATAAATTCTGTACTATTGTAAGATGTTTCATCCTTGAGCCCTTTGGAGGAATGATATATCCAGGATTAAAAAGCTGTTTGCGTGGGTTGTTGAATGCCAGTGTTATCACTGAATTTACCTCCTCTTATCTCAGGATGCTCCTGTCATCCTTCTGGTGTGAATACCACTGAGTGTCCCCCTGGTCAGGGAGCTTGCCTCTGTGATCCTGACACTGGTGCATGCCCTTGTCTGCCCAACGTCACAGGACAGACCTGTGACCATTGTGCTGATGGATACTGGAACCTGGTCCCCGGCAGAGGATGTCAGCCATGCAACTGTGACCCCCGCACCTCTCATAGTAGCCACTGTGATCAGGCAAGAGACTTTAAAGTTACTAAGCTCATCTTGTATATTTTTCCCCTGTCCAGGAAGCCATTTTTTCAAGGAATACTGGTCCTTTTGTTGGAGAATGGTATTCTTGGTTTTTAATACCATTCTGGGCAACAGATGACCATGCCTGTTTATATGCTCCTCTCCACTCCTCACCCCTGCAATTACCAACCATGGAACAAATCGGTAGATCTCCATATCACTGCTTGGCTTCCTAATTCACGAGGGGAGTCTAATGTTCATGACAGCACTCTCTGGCATAATTTTTAGACATTTCGGGAAGCATGTTTGTAGCAGCACGCAACAAAAACCACAGTTCAGTCATGGAGACTGAGAGAAGTCAGTGAAGCTGAAATCAGATGGCATTTGTTTAATCAAAGAGCCCCTTATGATGAGAATATTTGGGGTTGTCTGGTCCATAGGGGATTCCTAGGAGAAGTCTGTTCTTTACAATTAGGAAACGCTTTCATTGGCGTACAATGGAGACATGGACATTTAGATTCTCAGCTGTTTAAACAGCTATGATAAACATCTCTCTCTCAGCCAGTAGGTGGTCCTCAGGACATTATTACGGAGAGATCCAAACGTGCTGTCCAATATTTTCATCAACAGTTTAGATGGAGTTGGAGAAACATGCTTATCAGATTTGCAGATACTGCAGAGTTGCAAGTTAATGTGATAAAGACAGAATAAGTGACAAGATATTCTAACAGGCTTTCTTGTTGTCTGGAAACAAGATGTTAACAGGTTACAAGTAAAGATTTGCAATTGGATTTTAAAAATTTACATAAATACAGGGAGGAGTAATAACTTGGCACCAGCTCTGTGAAAAACACCTGAGGATTTTCATTGCATGCTTCAAGTGAGCCAGCAGTGCTGTCAGGGCTGTCAAAGAGGCAATGTCTATTCAGGCTGGAGTAGGAGGAGGGCCATACCCAGGTTCGGGGCAGTTATCGTCCCATTGTCCTCTGTACTAGGAAGATGGCTCCAAGAGCACTTTTGTCATTTCTAAGTGCCACATTTTAAACATTATATTGACAAACTAGCATGTGTCCAAAGGAAGACAACCAGGATGGTGGATAGAACCATGCTATTCTGTGATGAAGGCTTGTTCTTTACAATTAGGAAACACTTTCATTGGCGTACAGTGGAATTAGGGGTGGTCAGCCCAAAGAAGAGCAGCAAATGCAAGTTGAGGATAACTATTTCTAGGTGGGAAAAGAGCTGGAGGAGGAAAGAGGGAGGCTACCGTTTTGTGCTGCCCATAACACAGACCTCAGAACAATGGAAACAAGTTACAAGGAGCAGATCCTGCATCAGTGTAATAAAGCATTGCCCAACAATCAAGGACAACCAGCAATATGACAGCCCTCAGGGGCAATGAGCTCCCCATAACTATCTATATTTGAGCAGAAGCTAGAGGTAACTCCAAAGACAGATAGAAACTTAGTAGATCTAGTCACTTTATGAATCCAGCTATTTATTCATTGAAATCATACTGGTAAAGTTGTTGTTTAAGCAGATTTGGTCAAGTATAACCCAGGATCACTACAATAGTGATTTGCTTCTATATTTTCCTCCTATAAATTTCCAACCTCCTCATTTTCAGAAAAGCTGGTCAAGAATCCATTTGGAAGGGTACAAAAAAGTTCAACTCTCCCCCCAAAACACAGTTAAATAACTGTCACTAAATGATTAAGGCTCAAATGCAAAAAATGTTTTGTTGAGCGAAACACTAATCCATCATGGACATTCCATCATGGAAACACTATCTGCCAAATAAATTGATGAATGTTAGTCCAGGTCTCTGGCCTCTCTGTGTTATGGGAGAACTCTCATAACTGTAGAGGACAAGAATGTGGCCCATTTCCCATTATGTGTTTTGTTTTCATTTACATGTGTGTATTTCCCATTTTGGGGCCACCTGTCCTTGAACAGCTGGAAGCAGGCGGTATATTCAAGAGCCCAAGCCAAAACACATTAACTCCTGATCCTTGATATTGTCTGGGGTGGTTGCTGGCCGTGGGAATCATCCTTCCTCTGACTCTGCACAGCTGTATGTTCTAAATCACTGGAGGGAAAACTGTTCCGTATTAAAATGCATTATTTTTTTAGATCAGAAAGCTTGTTAATTCTTCACCCACAACTGTTCTTACAGCTTACAGGCCAGTGTTCGTGTAAATTAGGCTATGATGGGAAACACTGCAGTGACTGCAAGGAAGATTATTATGGTGATCCACTGGAGCGATGCATTGGTAAGTATTGGTGATTCTAAAAACATACGTGCAATCAACCTGGTCCCGCCATGGGCATGCTCTGAACCAACTGAATTTCAAACTCCTTTATTTGGTAGAAGATCCACAAAATTAATCCCAGTTTTGAAAAAAATATTTTTTTCTCCTGTATTAAAACTTTAGGCCATATTAAATGTTAGCCTATATTCCAATTTGTGGCCTATATTAACATTCCTCAGAGTCATTAAAATAGAACAGACCTCTGAGATTGTAACTTGTGGCCATTTTCCCGCTATTTGGAAGCATGTTGACAAAAAACAGCTACTGTGGATTGAGGTACAGGCTGGGAGATGGATCACAGGAGGCCAGAGGAGACATGTTTCTTCAGCATGGCTCTCTCCTAATTCTGGGGCTATAACATGTTCACTTATTTGTTCATTTTAAAATATCCACAGAGTGCACTACTCTTGGTAGTGAATAAATAACGTAAAGCTCTTAACCTCATGGTGTTTGTGTTCTACTGCCTTTCGTTCTATGTCTTAGCAATCACTGTAGGGTTCAGAGCCACGCTGTCCAGTAGAACTTTCTGCAGAGGTGCAAGTATTCTACATCTGCACCATCCAGTGCAGGAGCCCCTAGCCACATGGAGATGTTGAGCATTTGCAATGTGGCCTATGCAAAAGAAGAAAAAAAATGCTTTATTTTATTTAATTCATTTAAATCTAAATAGCCACATGTGGTTCGTGGCTACCATATCAGATAACACATATTTAAAATCCGGGTTGGTTCTAGAAGGGATATTTGAATCTCTATTTAAAGTCAGCTTCCAAAAGAAGTCAATCCAAAGAAATATCAGATGTGATGGGCTTATCATCGTGGTCACCTCTACATTGAATACATGATAACTCTTTCCTCCATTCCTTTCCTTTATAAATGTGCCTTCGGGGCAACAACAAAAAACAAACAACAACAACAACAAAAAAGACTTTGTTTTCTTGCCCTATTCGAATATATATTCTCAGTGGTGTCCCCCAGTCTCACTCAGTTTTCTAAGTGGAATTGCTGCTTTAAAAACCAGGAAGGAATTTTGG